TGTGTAGAACTTGAAAAAATACGTACAATTCCTGAACGATATTTAAAAAAGTGGTCATTTCCATGCAACTTTCGGCAGCATCGTTTCCAATTAAATTTAATGAATGATTAGGTTTTCATCCGCAGAGAACCCGTTGACCCTTCGGGAAAGAACCCGTTGGCGCCGTTGCATTTTTACTCGCCAAGCTCGATGAGCCGAGCCGTAAACGTGATATTTTGTAAACGTGATTTTTAGTGCATGTAAATTCAAGTTAGCATACAAAACAATATATTAAGCATATGGTAGTAAAAATTCACAGATAACAAGCATATAGATGTAAAACTAACCGGTTAAACGTGATATACGAAAATAAATTTTTATTAAATTCAAGTTAGCACAGAAAACAATATATTAAGCATAAGATAATATATTAGCATTATAACGGAAAATAAAAAATATAAATTAGTATAAATGTACTGAAATTACCCTTAAACGTGAAAACGAAAAAATTTGTCTTAAATTCCAGAACACAGAAAACAATATATTCCTTACATCAGCAGTGGGTTTGATAATTGTGATGACCATGGTGATGCATCAAACTATTCTGTCATCGTAGAACTCATATTTTTATTTCAATTTAATTCATCTATTTATATCACCTGCCATCCTCGAAAGGTTATGTTAACATTAACAAATATTATCTTGTTAAAATTTTACGCCATAAAATGATTTATTCTCATAATTTTAGATGACAATAACCAATAATAAAATAAAAGCATTACTTAATTATTTAAAATGCAACATTTTGCGGCCTACGGAAACAAATTATTAAGGGTTGGAAAACCTCATAGCATGCTCACAGCTGTTAATAATTAAGACACAACGTGAATAGCCGTGTACAAATTAGCATTCCCCCCCCAGGCGTATTTTCTTCCTTTCTTCCCGAACCGAGAACCGGTCATCACAACGAAAAATATTTCTATCTATTCGTGTTAAAAAATTCAGAAAAAAATAATAAATAAGAGAAGAATAATATAAATCGCAAATGCGGACAACGACAGCGATAATTCAACAAAGTGAACGCAAGAGGAATGGTTGCGAACTTCGAACAAGCGAATAGGATAGTTGGGTTGGTGTATTAATTTATGGCAAAGCACACGAGGGCTATCTGCCTAAGGGGAGGGATGCCTTCGTGGAGGACTTTCTAAGGGAAACTGGCTCTTACACGTTACATGGGGAAAACCACGAAACCCCTATGCAGCCAGCCCGTTCGCGGGATTCGAATCTCGGACCGAACTACCAGTGTTCAGCGACTTTACCGCTCGGCCGCTGGTGGGCAGGAATAAGATAAATCCGCTGGGTTACCAGGTTTGAACTATTATCGCCAAAGTTGGCGATGTTTACATTTACCGGGTTCTCTGCGGAAGTGCTTCCGAATGATTTGCGCATAGTGGGCAGAAAAAATATATTGTTTTATTTTGGATTGGAGTCCCGTATATTTACCTGACATAATAAATGCATTACCATCTCTGTCTCCGACAGTCAGTGATGTCTAAATCTATATTATTTAACCATTCTAAAATAACTTTCTCCAAGTTTTCACCAGTATGAGAAAATATAGGTAGAAATCCCAAAAATCTGTCTTTTATACCACTTGGAAGAACATAGCAAATGACGGTCAGCTGATGTGTTGAATCAATAATTAGAGAGTAAAATTCGGCATCCTTTATTTAGTTTACTATTGTGAGTTGTAAATCTTTCGATATAATAGAAATAAATTCATCACATATTGTAGACGACAAATATTTATAGTACCGGTGCCGCAGTTTGCTTATTTTTTCATGTCTTCCCGCAATAATGGATCGAACCTGATAAAATTCCAAAGCACTATATAATTAACCATTATTCACGAAAAAACACTTATTTTTACACGAAACGCTAAAGAGTATGAAGAAATAATTTAATTATCGCTGCCACACGATTAAGTACTTCCCTCCAATTTTTTTCATTTATAATTGTTTTCCATTCAGTGTCAATGCGTCCGGTAATTTTAGATCTTGTTATAAAAATTAAAATGGAGTTAATGTGGTCACGGTTTTTCATGCTCTGACAAACTTTTTATGGACATTCTTCCAATCCTTCCCCTTTTGTCATTAGCGTTGTTTGCTTGGAAAATAATTTATAAACGTAACAATACAATAAATTGTTGGTTTCAGCACAAGCCAACAAATCTCTTTGAACCTTTTCCCCGCTATTAATTGTTCTGAAGAAGGAGGCAACAGTTAATTTTCTAGTGATTTGTTTTGACCCTTCGTTGCATCAAATAGATGATTCCAAAGCTCTATTTATTGATTTTGGTGGATTTTTTAAATGATACCCTCGCATGGCGTCCATATTCTGGCCATGCGAATATGGACGTATTGTATTCTGGCCATATTGCAATATCGGTTACAAAACTCTTAGTTTCATTATTACTTTGAGAGGATTTTAAATTTATATTTTCTCCTTTTGTTTCATCTTCACAAATGGAATTGCTTGGTTTCTCCTGGTGGTCTTTTTGCAGAATAGTTTCGGGTACAAATGATGTTTCTGGAGATTGAGCAGGTGAAATTTGTGAAAATGATGACGATTGTTGTAATTGTCCATCTACAGTAAAATTTTGCCCACGATCTTTCATTTGTTTGTCACTTTATCTCTATCTGCTTTTCGTTTTCTTTTTTCACTTCCCCTTAAATTTTATAGGAACTCATTTTAAAGACCATGTACTAAAAAGAAAGAAGAAATGATTTCCAATTAAATTTATTTTTACTCATTATCACAATCACAAACAAAATCATAGTTTGTCGTATTTATATTATTTTAGTAAATAATGTAATACTTTTATAAAAACTTACATTTTTATTTTAGGAATTTCAGAAAGTATTAACTGTGAATCCAAAACAATCTATTTGCAATCAAATATAGGTACTTAACTGCACAAAAATTTGTCCAACGATCTTTTCTTTTGTTTTGTCACTTTATCTCGATCTGCTTGTAAATTAATTTTTACTCATTATCACAATCAAAAACAAAATCACAATTTATCGTATTTATATTATATATTATTTTAATTAAATAATGTAATGTAATTTTATAAAAACTTCCCTTAAATAAAATAAAAAATTCCTAAAATAGTTAGGAATTCCAAAAAATATTAACTGTAAATCTAAAACAATCTATTTGCAACCAAGTCTAGGTATTTAAGTCTTAATTGCACAATTTTCAATCACAACTCACAAACGATGCAGTACGTTCAGGAGATATTGATTTTAAATAGCTACATTTGACTTTTTAAACACGTTCGATAGGCGCGAGGCTCGATCGTATTTACACACATCGACACTCGACATCGACACTCGTTCATACTTGTCGACTTAATCAATCAACGATTCGGCATAATTTGGATACGTTTAAGCAATAATTATGAATATCACGTTTCTGTGTTAAATAAAAATTAATTATAAAAATTAAAAATCTAATTTTCGGGCCCCCAAATTTACGGGCCCTAGGTACATGCCTAGGTTGCCTAGGCCTTAGTCCGCCCCTGATTTCAGGTTAAGTTGAATTAAAAGTGTTTGAAGTTGCATTGATTGACTTGATTAACCCAAGAAGTATTTACGTACTTACGTGCTTGAAAAACGCAAATAATGCTGAAGTGTATTAAATAATTTTATAAAATGTATTACTTGAAATTATGAATATTTTAATAAACTTGTGATTTAATGTTTTCATATCTAAATAGTCTCATTATTTATTTCGTTTGCATTATCATTATTTCCTTTGCATATCGAGACCAAACTATATAAAAATGAAAAAAATTAAATAATGTATAAAAATAAAACGTCAAAAGTCTAATCTTTGGAATATGGTAACAGGTAGTTTGGCGACATTTTGGTAAGGCGATAAAGGTTACTAGCTAGGACTTTAGCAGTGTACATGGATAAAGTCAAGAGTGTGCGCAATGCCATTTTTGTGCAATTCTGAGACGTTTTTTTAAGTGAAAATAGCGACGTGTACATGGATGATCCGTGTATGTGCAGTTCTTAAAAACGCGGCAAGCAGTGGGCGAATCTGCACTTTCTCCCAATTTCGCACCTAATCTTCGTCATGATTAAGCACTTTTGTTCCATAAAAATTCTAGCATAAACGTAATTCGCCTAGCAGATTAAAAACATGCCTTTACTTCGTGAAAACAAAATGGCGTCCAAACAAAAACTAGCAGATTGCTGTAGCAGAGTTGGTCGCCAAAAAATCGCCAAGTTACCATAATCCAAAGATTAACCCGTCAAAATTCTAAACGTATGCTGTTTTTAAATATTATTAGCCCAAATGCTCTCGAAACGGGTAATGTATGCGTAAATGTTAAAAACGCCCCTTTGGCCGTAATATGAAATCTGAAAGCTCTCCGAATATTATTTTTGGCTGTGTATCTCTTTAACATGAATATGAGCCTGTTTCTCTCAGGCAGTCCTTTTCTCATACACATAAAACCCTCCTCCTATTATTATTTTGCATCAGTCAAATGAGCAACCAACCAATCAATTAAGAATACTGACTGGAGAATGCCATTATTCTTAGCAAAATAATAATAGTAAATTATAATTATTATTCATGTTAATAAAACTTATAAATTTTAATTAAGATGCTAAGTAAAAATTAACAAAGCTGCAGACTACATTTTAATTAAAATAATTGTATGTAATATGCGAAGTGTGATAAATAAACTAGACAGAAAAAATTAGTACAATAATTATTCTACCCTTTATTAACACATGTATATTTGATTTTTACGTGATCCTTTTATGTTGTAGTTTCGTAATTATTCTTATTACATAAATGAATAGATCATTTATTTATTTCAGGATAGATTTCTATTTTAGAATAGATAATTTTTCTATTTTTCTGTATTCATTTATATATTTCATTATTCTATATTTTCTATCATTTTTCTATTTCTATCATTTTTCTATCTTCTATTTCAGGAGCTTTTATCTAAAACGTTGTGGCGCTTGTCATTTTACTCAGTATTGTGGAAAAAAATGTCAGGTAAGGCAGATTATATTCATTTCAATTCCATCTTTTATACTGCTCTTTTCGAAAATTTTTAGCTTTGTACCTCCTTTAAAGAGAGAGACACATCTCTATTTGATATTAATTTATGTAATAAGCGGATTATCTTAGCGTTATAATGCATGTTTTAATTTTTTTTTTTAATTTTAGAAGAGTAAAAATAAACTGATGCTTTATTTTTTAATTAAAAAAACTTCTAAAATAAGGTATTTTTTTCTCCTTTCCGCATACCATCGTGATGCGAATTGCGGCGAGGGTATTGTGGATTTCTTCCATCTTATGATTTCGAAAAAAATCTAGATGACTCTACCGAGTGGCGCCCGAACTAAAAAAGTAGTGGTAAAAAAGTAATTCGTCATTACCACGATTTGGTGATTGGGTCCCCTCATCCTCAGTCACTCTATTATATTACTTGGCTATATTATATCATTTGTATTTACTTTCAAATATGGAAAAAATAAAAAAGGTAAAAATTTCATTTAAAAAAATTTCAAAATGTTTTTCTGCATACTGATTTAGCATTAATGAATGTTTCGTTTGAACGCGATTTCGGTCAAAAGAAATGAAATTAGGAGAAGTTTTATTGTAACTGTAGTTATAAAAGAAACTGCTTGAAAGAATATTGGTTAGGTCTGACTGATTTAATTGCTTAATGTATTTTTGTGTGCAACGGGTTCAGAGAAATCTCCTTAATAAACATGTCACTTGAACAGAAAGAAGGTAGCTTTTTATTTAAAAAATGACAGCTGATACAGTAAATAACTAAACTAGTCCAAGGAGAGAAACACAAATATGCAAATTTTCGTTACCAGCCGAAGAATATCACGGATAACGAAAATAACTCGTAAAGGAAAGTAGAATCAAAGATAGTCGCAGAGTTAGCTTTTTATTTAAAAAATGACAGCTGATACAGTAAATAACTAAACTAGTCCAAGGAGAGAAACACAAATAAGCAAATTTTCGTTACCAGCCGAAGAATATCACGGATAACGAAAATAACTCGTAAAGGAAAGTAGAATCAAAGATAGTCGCAGAATTCTGGAATGACTGTTTGTTTTATGTGATTATGGCAAAGCCTGGAGGGCTATCTGCCTAAGAGGAGGAATGCTATCGTGGAAGACTGTCTAAGGTAAATTGTCTCGTATGCACGTTACACATGGGAAAAACCATGAAAACGCCCATGCAGCCTGCCCATTCGCGGAATTCGAAGCTCGGACCGAATTACCAGTATTCAAGGACTCGGCCGTTGGTCTGCCCGAATTCTGGAATGCATAAGTGAACTAAATTGAACTGACTGACTGACTCTTTGTCGCTCACAGTTTGTGTTTATAGAATTGCTTGAGGGGAAAGTTAAGCGCTTTAAGAAGCTACGAGAAAAATCTCTTCTTAGACTTTGAAAAGAAAACACGTCTTTTTGGAAACATTTAGAATGTCATCAAGTCGACGAGAAATCGCCAAGTGTCGCTAGTTCCCTACTAAGATATTTTTACAATTCAAATATAAGTGGGTTCAGAATTAAAATCTGTAGAAAATAATACAGGAAATATATGCTGTCAAGCTCAATACATGGTCATAAATTCGATTAAGAAAATTCCAGTTATCAAAACAAAACAAAAATAATAAAATTATTTTTAAAATGCCAATAAATATTTAAACAAATTAATTAAAACTATACTTAAAAATACAAAACAAAAAATCTAATTTGCACACAAACACAAATATGTTCAAAAATATACAAAAATTGTAAACGGCATAAATTGTGTAAAGTATTTTTGTCCAAACACCGTAATCAGGACGAAGATTAAAAGCATTTTATTTTTAATTAATAACTATTTATATTAAGTATTGTAATTACTGTATAATTATGTTCGTTTAGCATTGTAAAGGCGTATTTGCTAGTATTTTATGTACATGTGTGGTCTGCGTCATGTGAAAGATACAACTATTTGTTTCAGTATTTTTCCTCTCCCATTTATGTGTTGTTAAAATGAACTCTTTTAATTTTTAGGAAGAAGCCTGGAGTGATCACAATTTAGAATGCAAATTTCTGAAGAATTTGCCAGACACCCTTGTGCAAGATATCGTGCAAATTGTAGCAAAAGTAATATTGAAAATAAAAGTAAGTTTTATTAATTTCTCATATTTTTTTCATACTAAAATCACTTCGTGACATAGAAATATCAAAAATATTGTTGTGATGGTTTTCAAACGCAAAAAATTATTAATAAAATCAAATGTTCTATGTTATTGCACCACGCGATAAATTGCATTGTTAATTGGTCGAATTTTGTATACCAAAGAGAGGCAAAACCACTTTAATTTGAATTTACTTCCAAGTATTAAAGTATGTTATTACAGATTGATACAAATTTGTGATGTGTTATCGATGTGATAATTTTTCAATGTATAAAGTTTTTCTCTCTCGATATGGGGAGGTTTCAGTGTGTAAGGTTTTACCGCGTGCCTTCTCGGTGTAATTAGAAAGCACGCTCGGCTAGCAGTAGGAAGATCTGGAGTTAAAAATAATTCTAAATGACTTCACAAGTTATGCCCGAACTAAGATATGATGGGTGATAATTCATCAGCACCGGGTTTTGGCGATTGGGTCCCCGCCTTCCCAGTCTGGGAGAATTCTGTATCACTTGTTAATCTGCCTGGATTCGGTTAAACACGCACTACAAACCACAGACATGGAATCCTGGTTTCAGAGCTGGAAAATAAAGATCAGCGTCGGAAAAACGGTGGCAGTCATGTTTTCATACTGAAGAGCCGAGAATTGTTATGTATAAAATACTGCTATCCTGTGGTCCAAGCAACTAATCTCTGTTGGTGTTATACTTGATGAAAGATTAACACGGAAGCCTCACATTACACATGTAATCTATGAATTCCGGAAGTGTAAAGCGAGGAAGTCTTCATCGCTTAATTCGCCAGAACTTGGTTTAATCCCTTGACAATAAGTTATTCATCTATAAGGCCATGTTGCGTCCTATTATTATTTATGCCTGTCCCGTCTGTGGTTTTGTAAAACCACGTTTCAGAGGCTGCAAATTGGTCAAAACATTACGCTACGGCCAATGTCCCGTCTGGGGTTTTGTAAAACCACGTTTCAGAGGATGCAAATTGGTCAAAACATTACGCTACGGCCAATGTCCCGTCTGGGGTTTTGTAAAACCACGTTTCAGAGGCTGCAAATTGGTCAAAACATTACGCTACGGCCAATGTCCCGTCTGGGGTTTTGTAAAACCACGTTTCAGAGGATGCAAATTGGTCAAAACATTACGCTACGCCCAATTTGTCATGCTCGCTGGTTCTACCGCAGCGCAACTATACACGAAGAGTTTGGCACAAAAACTGTTACTGTATTCATTGCAAAAATTTCTAAAATTATTTTAACAGAATTTCCAGCGTTAACAACCCCTCAATTCCAATGCTAAATTATGATCCTTAGACATTTAGACTGATTAATGTATTCCTTTGTTGTTCTTTGTTTCTTGTATTGCCCTTTACCCTAATTATCATTTGTAGTCTACCCCTTTCTTAAACGCATGGTTTCTGTCCTCCTCTCCGTGTTACTTTATATTATTTTACTTATATGCTGTTATAACATGTTATTTCTGTTTGTGTTATTATTTATATACAGTCAAAAGTCGTTAATCCGGATTCGTCAGGACTTCGGCGATTCCGGATTATAGATCATCAGTTTAAATCTGGTAAGATGGCATGCAGAAATTATAAAATTAAAAATATGAAACCGTAATTTATTGTTTAAGTTGCTTCGTTTTTTATGTGATATTACATTCTCTTTAATTCTATAAACAGACATAATTTCTTGTTCAGTTACAAAGTTCCGCTGTTCAAGTCCTATAATTGCTGTGTCGAGAATACCGACTAATTTGTCAATCGAAATTTTTTCGTTTTCAAAAACCTCTGTGTCACTTTCTTCACTATCGGAAGCGAATTATAATGATGAGGAATTTGATTTAAATCATATCAAAGACGGGGTACATCGAGATGAAATACTACATTTAGTAAGGAATTATAAGCCAAATAAAATAAAAACATCTGCCCTGAAGATAAGGACAGTGCTGACAGATCAACTTCCAATTCATTGCGCGCCGCGGCGTTAAAGTTAAACAAAGTTCAGATAAACAAAGGATATGCCTTTATCCATTTTTTGAAGCAATTCCACTTTCTGTTTAATGGACTTCGAAACATACTTTCGCTTTGTAGATCCTTTACTTATTAATAAATATATATCAGAAATTCTATTTGACATAATCGAAAGTTCAAGCTTACTTTTATAAAATTGCTCTAACAGTCTGCAAAAAATAATAAGCCGAATCCAATTCGAAGATTAAGGAACAACGCAATCTGCAACATTAACTGAATTAGATAATTTAACTTAGCTTATACCATCCGTTATACATTAAACGCGCATTCGTAAACGTATTTTGCGCACCCGCACACGCGTATTCGCAGCCGTAAAGGTCTTACGCGCATGCGTCTATGCGACGCATGCGCAGAAAGTTTGTAGCTTTGAGTTCCGGTTTATAGATAATTCCGGATTATGGGTGTCCGAATTAACGACTTTTGACTGTATTATTATTTGGAACAAAGCCTATAGTTTGCTGGTGCTCTGTTGCCTTTCTTACTTTCAGCCGATAGCTAAGCTTCTGCCAGCCAATCGTTAAACTTTCAGTCACGTGTACTATTTGACCCATCTCATGGCTCCCACTTCTCAATCTGTGCGTTACATACAAGCTTCGACATCGACGGACATGTTTTATTTCGTATAGTCTTTATTACGAACGATTTGCCATAGTTTTTTTTCTCCTAAAAGGAATTTTTCAAGGACTATTATGCTTTTGCGTTATTTTTTCATGTTACGTTTATCACATATCTAGTTAGCCTGGTATACGGCTTCAGCCCAAGAACAACGAAAAACGGGAATTTATGTTAACGGGAATTAGTTGAATTTATGTTCATTTGCTTCTAGATTCTTCGAATCCATTGTGAAATAAATAGAATCCTAGCTGCAGGCAGAAACACTTTTGCCTTTTTGCTACTTTTTGGAAGTTCCAAAAAACGCGTGGCGAAAAGCCGTAGGAGCAAATTTTCACAACCTGGCAACGCTATATAAATAGGGCTCCGACAGCTGGTCATTAATTGTTTCAGACTTCAAAGAATCAACTGAGTAAACTGTGTATAGAATTTGCTTTGTGAATAATATCAGTTGACAACGATACTTCCAAGGAGAATTTGCTTTATTTCTCCGTTATCATTGAGTTATATACAGCTATTTATTTCACTATATATTGCTATTAATTGGAATAATTTGTCAGTTTTTTTCCAACTAATGTGCCGTAATTATTGAAGAGATCTCCAAGTATTCGCGCAAAATCCTAAATGTGTTTGATATGGACCGATGCCAATAACTGTAATTAAAAAGTCAAATTGAATAATGGGAAACTATGGAACTTCATAATGGAAACAGAATTTATAAAAGAAAGGAAGTCTGGGAAGATTCAGATTTTAATGTCACTCTAGAGGATTCGTTATGTTTTTTTATGCTGTCGCTGAGCATTGTAGATTCATTCTGCTTTGTATTGTAGCATTGTAGATTACCATTCTGCTTGTAGACTCACCCCTGCTAACACAATTTGTTTTTGTCTTTTTAACTTTATTGTTAAGCATCGCTTTCTTCGTCCTTACGCCACATAAAATTCAAGAGCAAAATCACAAAATATTTAAATACAGTATATCTTTTGTATTAAAGATATGATTTATCATTATATCGTGTGTGTGTGATTATGGCAAAGCCTCGAGGGCTATCTGCCTAAGGGGAGGGATGCCTTCGTGGAGGACTTAGTAAGGGAAACTGGCTCGTATACACGTTACACATGGGGAAAACCAGGAAAACGGCAAGCAGCCAGCTCGTTTGCGGGATTCGAACCTCGAACCGAACTACCAGTGTTCAGCGACTTTTACCGCTCGGCCGCTGGTGAGCCTATCATTATATAGTAAACTCTCACTGAATGATTCGCCTGGATTCATGTGTTTCTTTCCATTTGAAACCTGTTTCACTGCTTGAAAACTGTTTTAAAATAATGCAAATATGGGCTTGTGACTTTTGAAAAATCTAGTTCCGGCTCTGGAACTTTCCTAAATTCCACCATGCGATTTTTACTAACTTAAAGTGTTGCCACCCGTAATGTATAGAAAGCATAAAAAAATCGAAAGATTTTTTTTAAAAACTGCCCACTGCTCAAAGGTTTTTGGCAATTCTATAAGTAGATAATTGAAAATCGTATAAAAACATAGCGATCGTGACAGCTTTTAATGTTTAAAAAATGTTGGCATGTCGAATTTTTGGTGAGAAATTGCTGCTACTTTGTGTGTATTTTGACGTATGGATCGCGCGCAGTGGCTAATCACACCGACGGTTCGAATAGCCTCTTAGAGGCTAATCGCACCATCTACGTTAGCGCATACGCACAGTCAACCCAAGTACAAGCATGTAACACCGATTTGCTGTAAGATAAACGGCAGCGGGAGGAAATTTTGTTAACCCTAACCGAGCGATAGCGAGGGTTGTTAACAGTTTCTGCTTTATCTTCCTTGTACGAGATTTCTTTGTTAATTAAATTTGTCTAATCTTTGGAATATGGTAACAGGTAGTTTGGCGACATTTTGGTAAGGCGATAAAGGTTACTAGCTAGGACTTTAGCAGTGTACATGGATAAAGTCAAGAGTGTGCTCAATGCCATTTTTGTGCAATTCTGGGATGTTTTTTTAAGTGAAAGTAGGTCAACGTGTACATGGATGATACCGTGTATGTGCAATTCTTAAAAACGCGGCAAGCTGTGGGTGATTCTGCACTTTCTCCCAATTTCGTACCTAATCTTCGTCATGATTAAGCACTTTTGTTCCATAAAAGTTCTAGCATAAGCGTAATTCGGTTAGCAGATTTTTGGAAAAAAATGTTGAGGGGGGGGGAGAATGCCTTTACTTCGTGAAAACAAAATGGCGTCCAAACAAAAACTAGCAGGTTGCTGTAGCAAGGTTGGTCGCCGAATTTTCGCCAAAAAATCGCCAAGTTACCATAATTCTAAGATTAACCTAAAATTTTAGTTATTGTTACAGAAATTTACGTGTTATTTGTTTGACATAACTTGAGGGCGATGGATGTGACAAATACAAATTTCTTGCCTTTTGAGTGTGGAAACAAGTTTTCCATATATTTTGAAATTGAAAGGGCAAAATAACTGTATGAAAATCAAAATTTCGCTGTTTTGATTCAAACGCGATTGGAAAAATTTCACAAGGGTCATAAACATCGTGAAACCTTACTGGACAAATATGTTACATTAGAATGTAAAAAAAAGAACATATTCATAAACAGTTATATTTATATTCATAAAGAGTTCAATTCTTTTACTTAACACAGGAATTTTTATGCAAACTTAGACCCTAGTCTTAGCAAAGAAATGTCCGAATTTATTATTCAATAAGAAAACTTATTGAAAATTATACTGTTCTTATAATATGCATCACCTTTTCAGTGTCCACACATATTTATAGGTTCAAATGCCATATTTCAAAATCAAAGTTTTTTAAGAAATAAAATCGGTACTATTCGGTTTTGAAGGCCGTAAAAAATCGCCAAACTATTGGTTGATGGCAGTGATCCCAAAAATAATTGCGGCAACCCTAATGCAAGAAAGGAAGTATAATAGTAAATAACTAAGATTGATGTTTTAATTTAGATGAAAGGTTAATTTCATATAATACTTTTTTATTATTATAATTTATGTAAGAAAGGCTAAACATGACTGAATGGATGCTCAAACATAATTTTCTATAATGAATGATGCCTTTTCTTTAAAAAATATTCTCTAAAGTGCAGAATCGCTCACTTATTTGTTTGCCGCATTTTACAAGGGTGAGTGAGTGAGTAAGCGCCACCAAGGAAGACCACTGACATGGCCTTAGCCTCACAGTGTGATATCTTCCTGGCAGAAACCATCTACTCAAAAACAATTGGATTTTTGTCAATTTTCTTTTACTTTTTAAGTGAAAGTAGGTCGATGTGTACATAGATAAAGTCAAGGGTGTGCGCAGTGCCATTTTTGTGCAATTCTGGGATTTTTTTTAAAGTGAAAATGGATCGATGTGTACATGGAGACCGAGTATGTGCAATTCTTAAAAACGCGTCAAGCAGTGGGTGATTCTGCACTTTACCCAAAATTCTATTGCAGACTTTTCGTCATGGGCAATTCCCAAATTGTGAAATCCATAGAATATCAAAAAAGGATTTAAAAATTAAACTAGTATTTCAATGGCGTCTTAAGAAATATATAAACTTACACAATCTGGAATCAGCGTGTAGCGCGTTTGCTAGATTTGGCGCTTTTGCGCATACATTTTCGCTGCAATTTTTTTACGGTTCTTAAAACGGAATAGTACCATAAAATCTTATAATTCATTTGCGTGTGAAAATTTTTCAATCTAAATCTCTTACAGTAAATTATTTTTGTCTTTTAAATTACATCTCATTATTTATTTAAATTTCATTTATTAATGTATTTATAGTAATATTTAAAGGCTGCCCAGACGGTATAGTGGTTAGGGAAGTCTGACTGTGACACCGAAGGGCCAGGGTTCGAAATCCGGAGAAGGCATGGTTGTAACTGTCCGTCCCTTCATAGGAGGCAATGGTGGCCCACCTTTTATGTGCCTCCATAATAAAGAGACCACAACATGTGGCCTTATATAGTTTAATGGTCTGGGTTACACTGTAACTATTCACAATCTGCCATTGGAAAAAAAGAAAATACTACTCTTTGAAATATTTTTTGTGTCCTGAAAATGAAAAGTATTTCAATAGAAAACGTAAACAGAGCATATAAAATTGTTAGTAAGCAGTATTATATGATTAATTGTTAATTTAATATTTGATTTTATCGCATTTAACATATTTCATGTCTAAAATTTCTACGCAGAAATAAAATTCAAATTGTTACTATCTTTTCTCAGAGGAAGAACTTCGAAGAGGAATAAATTAAAAATCTTTATTGTGCAAAGCACATCTTTGAATCTAATTATATTCGAAAAGTACAAAAAATGTAAACGACATTTTAGTTCCTCTGTCCCCAAATCAGTCAAACTATTCCAACCGTTCATAGTTTATGCGAACATAAATCTGACCATATATATATATATATAGTTTTACCAATGCTTAAAAAATGATAAACTACGCCAACGTCCCGCCTTTTTGTTTTTTATTTAAAAAAAATGACTGCAACAGACATTGGCAGTTCGTGTACTTAGGATTTCTTCTTTTCGATTCAGTTCAAATGACGGATCCAATAACTGAGTGCGCTCAAATGACGGATCCGATAACTCAGTGAGCATGCGTGGCTAATATTGTTGTGAATAACCTGAAGAGGCTAATCGCACCGCTGGTGCAAATATCATCAGCCTGGATATCCGAACGGTAAAGTCGACGAGCACTGTTAGCGATTCGAGTCCTATCGAACGGGCTGGCTGCTTGGACGTTTCGCGGTTTTCCCCTTATGTAGCGTGTATACGAGTCAGTTTCTCTTTCAGATCGCCCTCGAGGGCTTTGCATAATCAAAATAAACCAATCCAAACCAGACATATGGATCACTGGTTGAATGGTATGTTTATAAACCTGTTAAGTTGCAATTTCATTAAATGTTTGGTAACAAATTGCGTTTTTAGGATAATATTTTAAACTTTGCAATCTCATAATCTGGCTTATTTTGTAACTTTTTAGGGTAAAAACTGGAGTGAAATAACGGATCAAATTGGCAATGAGATCGTGAGTTTTGCTGACCTTGATTCACGTAAGTTTTCTTTACTATAAACAGATAACTTTCATTTCAGAATTCTGAATACGTGTATAAATGCAAAGCATTGCATTAGTATTGGAAAAGTAAGCGCTGATTAAGAAAGGTCCTTGTATCATATTTAATTCTTGAAGTTAAAATGTAGAATTCTCATGCGCTATATGAAATGTAATGCTAATTTCACCGCGTTAAAAAAAAAAAAAATTACATGACTAATAATCCTTTGGTAGAAACTAAGCACTTTTAAAAGGGAGTGTTTTTAATACTGGCGGTAAAATCGCAAGGTTTAAGCACTGCATGAAATGCAGAGCAGACTTACTTACAAATAGTAACTGAAAAAAATCTTTCTAAACAATAAAATGGAGAAGCAAGTGAATATAAACAATAAAATGGAGAAGCAAGTGAATATAAACAATAAAATGGAGATGCAAATGAATGCTGGAGATTAGTCAAAGGCAAGCCATTATGCATCATAGCTTCAAACACAGATTTTGGAATCACTTTTTGGGATTAGTCAAAGGCAAGCCATTATGCATCATAGCTTCAAACACAGATTTTGGAATCACTTTTTGGGATTAGTCAAAGGCAAGCCATTATGCATCATAGCTTCAAACACAGATTTTGGAATCACTGTAATTTTTCGGAAGCAATATGTTTGAATATCCAAAGATTGTATCATGGGCCGGTGATATGATAGCTCTACTTATTAACATGCCAACTAATTTCAAACCTAAACCTGGATGCTTCCACAGGAAGACTAATATCTGGATTGTGTCTTGAAATCTCTTATGAAAATGTATTATGTGCAAATGTATTAATTGTGTCAGGACCGCAGCGTGGGTATTAGGCTCCCTCGTTCAAATTGAAGTTTGGCGCCTCTTTATGGCGTTTTGTTGCACTCATAAAGTGCTGCAAATACGAGGGAACTACCTCGAAGTAATTGTAATGTTCTTTTAATTGACTCAATCTTTCAGTAATTTAAGAAATAGCAGTGTCTAATATTATAGTGTAAAATTCAACCTTAAATGTTACAAATTCTTATTTTTTTAACACGTACTCCACACGGAACGTGTTTTTATTGTCCGTATCGGCAATCAAATTGTTTTTTACACAAACGAAAACGACCCGCAGAAACGAAAACGAAAGTAAAATTAAATTTAAATTTAAAATTAAAATTAAAATAAAAATAAAATCTCATTTTATTGCTTAGAAAATATAAAACATGCAAAATTGCAAGCATGTAATTTAACAACTTTTATTTAAGTAACATTAAATTAAAAAACTATAAGTACTATAAATTTTGGCGCCCCCATGGCCCAGGCGCCTTTATGCGGGGAACAATTTTGCCACCCCTGCGCAGCGGCCTTGAATTGTGTCCTTCTATACTTTCATAAATAAATACGGGATAGGTAACGGAAGACGGCGACACTAGTATTTTATAGTCATCTTTGATGGTTGAACAGGTACAGTCCAACACTTCCTGTTGTGCGAAAACTCGCTTCGCTGTGGTTTGATAAGGAATGGAAAGGAGTAACAGAGGATGTGATGAATAAGAACTTCATGTTGTTATGGCAATTTATAATGCAACTGCATAAAAGACGAATTATGTAACAGTAGATAGAGTTCACATGCTGCCCAGAATGTCCAGGGTTTCCTTAAACTTTATGACGAGTCTCTTTTATTTGTGATATAGCCGCTGTTACCGAAATCTGTTATTTGTATTGTCCTGAAGTCTGAGGAAGTGGCTCGCTGGATATCTGTAGACAGTTTGCCAGGTTAGATTCCAACACTACCATATCTACTGCTATCTAATGCTTAGGCAACACTGCTTAGGCAATGTTAGTTTATTTTCACCCAGGTCCGACCTGTAACATAGCGTTTAAGCTGTGCATTTGAAAAACATCTTTTATTGTTTTCTTTGAGAAAGAATTGATAGGTTTGATGGCCATTTGGTGCGTGATTCCATTCATTCTGCTATTTTTCTTAAGCCAATTGGCGAGAGGAGGGAGTAAGATCGAGGCATATGTGAATTTCCTCCAACGTTGTAAGCTGCTTCGTCAGCCCGTGCATCTACTTACTCATTTCTTCTATGTTTGACATTGTCAGTGGAGATGGAAATGAAGGTGTTTGAAGCGTCATAAGTCCTTTGAATGTTACTGATGATACGAGAACTGTGGTCTTGATTTAAGATGGTGAATAGCACTGAGACTCTCGTTGTAGATACCAGCATTGTTGTATTCATTAGTTATTGCTTGAGTTATTGTAATTGCTAATACAGTCAAAAGTCGTACGGACACCCATAATCCGGAATGATCTATAATCCGGACCTCCGCATGCGCATAGGCGTTTACGTGCGTGCGTAAGACCTTTACGGCTGAGAATATGTTTGTGCGCATGCTCATAAAACGTTTACGCATGCGCGTTTAATGTATAACAGACGGTGTAAGCTAAGCTAAAATTATCTAATTCAGTTAATGTTGCACATTGCGTTGTTCTTAAATCTTCGAATTGGATCCGGATTATTATTTTTTGCAGACTGTTAGAGCAATTTTATAAAAGTAAGCTTAAACTTTCGATTATATCAAATAGAATTTCCGATATATATTTGTTAATATGTAAAGGATCGAAAGCGAAAGTATGTTTCGAAATCCGAAATCTGTTTATCAATTTCACGCTGCTCGGCGGGGGGGAACGCCGCGGCGCGCAATGAATTGGAAGTTAATCTGTCAACACTATCCTTATCTTCAGAGCAGATGTTTTTATTTTATTTGGCTTATAATTCCTTACCAAATGTAGTATTTCATCTCGATGTACTCCGTCTTTGATATGATTTAAAACCAGTTCCTCGTCATTATAATTCGCTTCCGATAGTGAAGAAAGTAACAGAGGTTATTGAAAACGAAAAAATTTCGATTGACAAATTAGTCGGTATTCTCGACACAGCAATTATAGGACTTGAACAGCAGAACTTTGTAACTAAACAAGAAATTATGTCTATTTAATAGAATTAAAGAGAAAGTATTATCACATGAAACGAAGCAGCTTAAACAACTTGCATTGAAAGAAATGTTTAATAAAGTAAACAAATAAATATTAAGCTTTTTCTTTTTGTAAATTTTGATACCCTTTAGATCATAATTGTTCTTTATTTCATAAATTACAGTTTCATATTTTTAATTTTGTAATTTCAGAATGCCATCTTACCAGATTTAAACTGATGATCTATAATCCGGAAAAATCGATAATCCGAAATCGCCGAAGTCCCGACGAGTCCGGATTAACGACTTTTGACTGTAACTGCGTTTCTGCTTAGAAGATGCTATTGGTGAGTGAAAGTTGTGCTTTCCATGTACGAGATTCTTGTTCGTTGCTTTATTGAACAAAGCCACAACCAGTTTCATTATACTGGCCTGATCCCTATGTGCAGTACTGAAACTTCGTGTTGGGTATGGTAGATTGTTGTTGTAGATGTACAAATCTGCTTAAAGAGTGATGTGATGATCGGCTTCTTAGTCGTTCATATATATATACATGTGAATGGAATTGTGGGATTGCGTATTTTTTTTACATAAATGAAGAACATAATGTTGTGTAGTTGTCAGTTCTTTTGTTTGTGCAGCTGTACATTCCTTTGTTTGATTGATGCTTTCTAAGTAAGTGTAGTCTGCGCAGTTTAAAATTCAATACTAGCAATTGATTTTAAGAAACAGTATGTGCAGTACTGTGACACCTCAGCACTTTCGAATATAAATTAGTGTCATTGAGCCATATCTTGATCCACCTTGGAGTTGTTTAGAGAAAACTATGTGGTAGAAACTATATATCACGCAGAAATCCTGATTGCGTTAAAGAATTAAAATAAGTCAATTAATTTGTATTTAAATAATTTTGTTCCTTATTTTATCGGTACTGCTCTTCAAAAATTAACTAAGAGGCATCATCTTGACCGGAGAGAGAGATAAAAAGAAATAACGGCAATAAAACAATCGGCCATTATAACCATAAAGAATAAAAGCAGCGCATATGAATATAGTGCGTCGCAGTACTTATGAATATAATACAATTATTATAAAAATATTAATAAAATGTGTTGTTTAAAATATATTTGTAAGACAGTTTGGTGTGTTTCAGAGTTAAGTTAGCAGTTATAGATGTTTTAAGAGGAATTTCTGATTTTTTTGTAGTTAATTTGGCTCCAATTCTAGTTATCACCGAGGCAAGTAACCCTTTTCTCGGCTGTGATTAAAAGAACTATTAGTAATTAAGATTATACAGGAAATGCTAAATAAGACTATGTTAAATTAATTGTCATGTTTTTATTTTCCTGTAGGCAAGGCTAAATTAGAATCCGATCCCAAAACGCAACTACTTGTGAAAGAAGTAATTGCTTGTTTAGAGACTTATATTGGCGAAGAGAATCTGCCAGAAACAGATCGCCTAATAGAAATAATTGGAAAGGTATGTATATTTTTAGAGCCTAGAGAAACGTTGGTCACCTTTTCCTGTGTCTGCTCATGATATCGGGATAGATATGTAGAATTAATATAGGATTCTGTCTTGCTTTGTTAACCGTTCCTAGTTTTATTTTAAAATGGGTTAGCACTGATTTCCTTTCGTTTTTCTTTTCTTTCTTTGGTTAATCTTTGGATTATGGTAACTTGGCGATTTTTGGCGAAAATTTGGCAACCAACCCTGCTACAGCAACCTTCTACTTTTTTTTTCGCCGCCATTTTGTCTTCACGAAATAAAGACAGGTTTCTTTTTTCTTTTTTTTTTATTTACTCAACATTTTTTCAAACAATCTGCTAGCCGAATTACGCTTATGCTAGAAATTTTATGGAACAAAAGTGCTTAATCATGACGAATATTAACTGCAAAATTGGGAGAAGTGCAGAATCGCAAACTCCTTGCCGCGTTTTTCAGAATGCATACACAGTAACCATGTACACGTCGACCTATTTTTACTTAAAAAAAATCCCAGAATTGCACAAAAATGGCATTGCGCACACTCTTGACTTTATTCATGTATGTACATTGCTTTTTTTCTCATAAAATTAGAAAAATTTGCACGAAAATGCAGGAAAATTTTGTGAATCTTTAAAGTCGGTAAAAAGGACATATATGAAATTACCTGATCGCGAAAAAGTATATACCCTTTCCAAGGATGAAAATTTGCACGTATAAAATAAATAAAATATCCAAAAACTTTTCCCTCTAAATTATCTATTATAAACGTCACCTGCGAATTTATAACGCAAACATTAAAAATGGTTGCAAATACTTAGTGTCAAATATTTAAATTATTGCCATGCACGTTTACTTCTACTGAAACGTATTCCAAAATGCTACAAACATATAATTTACAAAATTAAAAAACACTACTTAAAATATAAATAAACACATACATTAAATTAATAAAAATTAGCTTAAAATCTTAATTACTTTAAACTAATTCATTGCTAATGACAATTTTCCAATAATAGCATATTAATTTATTTATTCCTTATATTTAGAACAATGCATAAAAACACTAACTTACCTAATCTTCTTCAGAATCTCAATCGTATTCTTATGTGCGCCTGTTTCAGGATCTTTAAAATGATACTTATGGTTAACAGGTGACAGGTGACGGAGGACGGGGACGCCTGGTGTTTAACATAGGTAAACAGGCGTGTGTCCCACGCCCTCCCCTATCTAGGAATAACAACTCCCTGGGGCCCCGCGAGGCTGCCTCGGGAGTTTATAATACAGATCTAAAGATCAATACATGGCCAAACAGGAGCTGAGGATTATTGTTTGACAATGGTTGCGTGACAATAACTTTGTGGGTGTGCATGGCTGTTGGAATAACACAGATACATAAAAATATAACAAATACAAGAATAGATACATACAGGCAAAAACAAACAAATACTAACAGATACGAACATAAGGATGCATTGATATTAAGATAAATATGAAGAGAGACACATATGTAAGATACAAGAGTAAAAACAAGAGTAATAAATACTAGAGTCATATGTGTATTGCTGGTATCCTTGGGGTTGCAAATGTGCTGTGAGCACTTAAACACAGAGATGAAGCTATTAGTACCGGATGTCGAGTTATGGTGTCAGGAGTTAGTGTTAGAGTTCGCTGAAAGTACAGTCTGCACTATAGTTCAAATTTGCAAGAGTTCAGGCTACACTAAAGTTTAGTTGTACACTGTGGTACTAATAGTACTAAATTTGGAGTTTGGCACAGTCACTAAGTTTTAATGCAATTGCTATAGGTTGGTACAGTCACTACAGCGCAGACACTATGTTAGGCACAGTAATTTCAGTACACAGTCACAATGGTTGCACAGTTACTATGACTGTGAACAAGTACGGTGTAGGTACTGATCTTCACTGATGTGTGCACTAGTGCTTAGGCATAGTCGGAGTTGGTGCATGGTGTATACGTGCGGTGTACCATTCATTGCAATAGGTTGGAAGGTGATGTAGGCATATGAAGGCACTTTGAGTTGACACATTTGGTACTCTGCTAGCACACCGGTAAGGTAAGTTCTAAAGAAGATTGACGTGTGCACATAAAGTTGAAGGCTTGGTGGTGGGGAGCTTTTGTTTAACAACTTGTGGGGGTGGCCCCTGAGTGAAAAGCTTTCGAAAAGGTTGGATAGTCGGTAGAGGGGACGAAAAGATGATCGTGTTTAAAGAGTTGCTGGATAGGTGTTGGTCTATTGCGGTGAGCAGATATCTTGGCCCATTGCCCCGATTTGAGTGATAGCTTTGCAGATTTTGGTTATGGCTGGCTTGTGAGTGATGATAAAGCGGTGGTACGCATCTCTGTTAATGGTTGGACATGGGAGGTGATGGTCTTTTGTCAGCTGGCAGGTGAAAAGATAGTGGTCTGGGTTGCCTGGGGCTCCACAGACGCATATATCTGTTGATGAGATGTTGTGCCTTTGGAAGTAGCTGGGGAATGGGCCGTGTCCCGTGATATATCGTGTCAGCGGAGCGATTGCGATGTGTCGATCCGTGCTGACTTTGGGGAAGAAATCGTAGGTGCGGCGGCCAGTTGTGCTATGGTTCCATTCCTCCTGCCATTGTTGGAGCCCTTTACTCCGGAGCTGTCCCTTTAGGTAGGAAGGTGGGGCTTGAAGGTGGATCTGCTGTGCATTTGAGTCGGTTACTGCCTGATTGGCTAAACGGTCTGCTGACTCATTGCCTTCGTTGTTGGCATGTGCTTTTAATCCACATCAGCGTCGTGTGCATATGTGAATTTTGCTGCAAGAGGTGCTGAAGGGCGATGACTAGTGGGGATCTGTGCTGATGGTTCTGGAGGGCTTGAAGTGTTGAGTAGCTGTCTGTATGAAGTGTGGCATGAGTTAGATCATTATGGACAATGTGCTGCATTGCTGCTGTGATGGCCAGGACCTCCGCTTGGAAGATGCTGTTGTGATTTTCCAAACGACCTTTCCATTCTTGTTCTATCAGGCCATCCTGGTAGTGGATGTAGGCACTGCCTACACCTTCCTCCTGTTTAGAACCATCTGTAAAGATGTGGGTACCTTGTGAAGGTACTTGCATTCCAGTGTTGGTAGGGGTGCGTGGAATGATGACAGAAATTCCTTTGCCTTTAAATTGCCGGGTGTGTGTGGAGAGGGTGTCCAGGTGTTTCAAACTGGACTGGGCTGTAGGTGCTATTGTAGAATGTGACGTCTTTTCTCAAGTATACTAGAGTTGTATATGCCGCTTCCCTTTCTACTTTGATGTGGAGAGGCAGCAACCCCGCAAGGACAGTCACCGCAACATTGTTGCAGTTGTGCGAAAGGCTTTCGTGAGGTTGAGGGCGAAAGGGCGTTGGACGGTAGTCAGTAATTTGATTTTACGAGCGCCCATTGGGTGGGCCCAGGCAGCGTACGTGGCGATCTTCTCTGCCACAGTGTGATATAGGATCTTCTGTATATGATGGTTCTGCCCCCAATTTTGCCCTTGAAAGGTGCGTGCCTTCCTTGCAATGGTGATAGTCTTCTTTCTGATGTCTTGAATGTGCGGGAGCCACGTGAGTCCTTGATCCCAGAGAAGGCCTAGATGTTTAAGGGTTGAGACTATCTTGATGTTTTGATTGTGCAATTTGATACAAGGACGGCGTGATGGATTTGTACCTGCCCTAAGGATGACAAGGGCCATGGATTTCTCAGTGAAAATTTTGAGTTTTAATGCAGTGCACATGTTTTCGAATATGGTACATGTTGCAGTCCCATTTCTTTCTAATTCCTTCCGTGTGCGTCCCTTGACCAGCAGAGCGACGTCGTCTGCGTAAGCAACAACTGTAGTATGCTGTGGCCAGTCAGCTTCCAGCACAGAATTGAAAGTTAGGTTCCAGAGAACCGGTCCGGGCGCAGGAGCCCTGGGGGCATCCTCGCTCCTGGCTTTTGGTGGTTGTGCCGTTGTCGTTGGATATTAAAAAGCTTCGGTTCTCCAAATAGCTATTAAAGGTGTTAAAGATATTTGCTGGGCAGCGTGCTATTCTGAGGGCTTGTTTTATAGCAGGCCACCAGAGGGTGTCGAACGCGCTCTGCAGGTCGATGGAGATGAAGGCCGTATGATATCCCGTAGCTCTGTTGCGTTGTATAGTGTCCCGGATAGTACAGAGAGCATGTGTGGTGGAGAGACGTGGTCGGAAACCGAACTGTCTTGAGCTGAGTAAATTGGTCACGTGCAGGTGATAGGACAGCCGTTGGACAGCCGTTCAGACATATGACTTCCAGCAATCAGATATTATTATTCTACCCGATAGAATATACTGCTTAATAAAACTTAAAAAGCAATTTTTACTTCTATCTCGCACAACCTTAAAAAAACACTTATTACTACCCCTTTCAATCCCACTAAATACCCATTTCGAATTCACTTTAGATAGGGCCATGGGATCCAAAAATTAATCATTCACACAACACAGAATGAAGCTAAATACAAAATGCTTAAAAGTACTGCAGATATTTTTTCAGATTTCCCCCCCTTTTCCGATTAAAGAACTGTGATTCGTCCATATATGTCACATGACATATCTCATGATCTCTCATTTCTCTCAAACAAAATAATCCGTAATTGGAACTGGGTACTTGTTACATTATTGCCAAAGTCCTTTATCGCCTACCAAAATGTCACCAAACTGCCTGTTACCATATTCCAAAGATTAGCCCTTTCTTTTTTTACGTTAACATTTTTCACATTTTACTTTAAACAGGTTAAATTGAGTTCTCTATTTTATTAAGCATTGCAAGTTTTTCTGTAGGTAAACAAGGTTATGGTTTTGGAAGCTAAAGTCATGTGTTTATAATCGTGTTATTTCTCCTAATTTTCCCTCTGTGCAATGCTCAAAACATAGACGTCAAAGGTCATGTATTCCTCATTGTGTAATTTCTCCTAATTTTCACTATGTGTAATGCTCAAAACATTGAAGTCAAAGGT